GTGCAAGAATGATCTACATGAAGGTATACTTACAGAATGAAAGACTAATTTAGTATATTAGTATTTTACAAATTGTTTTATATATGTTTTTATTATCAAACTCTTTATTAATTGAATTGAGTTAAATTGGGTTCATATTATTGAACAAAATATAAACCATATTTCTATTTTTGTTGACTTTAAATAATATTCTAATCTAATTTTATTAAAACATTAAATGAATTAATATAAAGAAGAAAAATATTGCCTTAATTAACCATTTATATATATATATATTACTAATATTTTAATACAAAATAAATTGTTTAATGATTTTAAATTAATTTAAAAAAGAAACTTTTACCTTTTTTTTTTATAATTTATGCAGTACAATTCCACTGTCCATTTTCATATAAATACTAAGTATACGGTGGGAAAGAAACTCACTTAATACCCCTGCTACAGGATATAGAATGTACTGTACATCGAGCAGTTATGTAATATCTAAAGCCTGGACACCATGTTACCTGAAAACAGAAACTCAGAAACAGAACTGAAACTTGGAGTTTTTGTTTTAACTTGACTCCACTAGCACTGAAATGAACATTACGCGGAAATGCGCCACCTGCTGATCAGTTCTGTAATTGGCATAAAGAGTCGAACATGGACGAAGCTACGGATTTTGCCATGCTTTCTATGCATTTATTAGCAATGAAATCATTAATAATCTTTGAATTCTTTACATTTTTTGTTGTACAGTCATTTATCTTCTTCAATGAATAATTCATTCCAAATCTATTTGTTTCCTTACCCTTTCACTACACTTTTTGCCTTTATGTCACGTTTTTATTGATTGCAGTACAACAGAAATGCGGAACAAAAACTGAAAAGTTAAATAATTGTTATGCCTGCTTTCAGTCTTGTTTCTGTCTAACTGAACATTCCAAAACTGAAAGTTTTGTCAGTTTGGCTTTCAGTTTTACAATTTTGTTATGGATTCTGGTAATGTGTAGTCCAGGCTTAACTATTTGAGGTGGTTCAATAAAATCTTTCAGCAATCAATTCCTTGTGTAATTCTGACCTTAAATGATGTGCCAAGTGAGCTCCTTCCCATTTACAGTTTCAGAGTTGCATTCAATTTGGTTAACATAAAGATTTGGGCAGTTGTGCATGTAACACACATCAATCTGTTTTTCCCATGCTCTAATGTGTTCCTTACATTGGTGAATTAACTTTGGGTTCATTCTATATTCTGTAGCAGGGGTATTAGAATGACTTTTTTCCTCAATCTGTGTACTGATTATAAGTATTTGAGAATCTGTTATGTATTCTTTTAAATTTTATATTAGTTCTTTAGACTAAATTGTAATTTTTCAAGAAATTTCTATGTTCTCTATAATTGTTGACAAATATACATTTTGAACACAGTACAAATAAATAATTCTACAATACAAAAATGCATTTTTAAAATTAGACAGTTTCAATTATACTAAATTTTAAAAAAATAAATATATTTTAAAAATTTGTTATTAAATATTAAATTACTATTTATTTTTTAACAATTAAATGATTCTTAATATAGTAAGACCCCGCTTGACGCAGGAGATGCGTTCCTAGACAACAAAGCGCTAAACGAAACAGCATTAAATGAGACCATTTTAGCATAGAGTAAATAGAGATAGGGGAACACACGACCAAAAAGAAAAAATTTTACTTTAATTTTAAGTTATTTTTATATTAATTTGTATAATAATATATGTTAAATAACTCATATGCACACAGAAATGTATAATAATATATTAATTAGTTAATTTCTATATTAATAGTGCACTTCTTGTGATGAAGGTCCTGACTTTTCTGAAATTCTCATTTTTTTTTGCAATAAAGTCTTGAAGTTTCATTTGACGCTTTTTTTCTCTCCTTAAGCAAATGTCACTAGCAGAAGAGCAGAAGATCGCATCCAAAACACCTCATTTTGCTTTTGCAATCCTTTCAAAATCTAGATCATTTGTTACAATTTGATTAACGATTTTGGTTATTGTTACCAAACTTTTACTAAGGAAATCTGTAGAGAAATTCTTTGGGTTCTTCGTTTTCAGAATCTCTGTTTTCCAGTTCTACATGAATTCCTTGTTCTGCCAGTTCTTGAAATCATCATTGATAAGGCTCTTACCAGAAACCTGCAGTAACTCCCCAATATCCTGCTTGTCTACATCTCCTGTATTAAGTTGACAATTTTGTCAACCTAACGATACAGCGATAGGCTCTTCTCAGTGAGAATTCTTGGATACCTTCAGCCATAACTTCCACACTCCGTTCATGCATTTACCAGTTAATTCTTACCAAGCAAAGTCACTATTTCCTATGGCATCCATGATGATATATTTTTTCCAAAATTGCACAAAACAAACATAGATTTAAGGGAATTACAGTACTACGATGAAGTGACACCTTTTGCTGATTGGTTCGTGTTTGGGAATAATCTTATTATATACGAATCAATGAAATACCACTTTAATTTGAATCAGTGTAAATTTTGAGCATTTTTTAGGCATCAAGCAGTGTTAAGCATGGTCTTACTGTATATATAATTTTGATAAAGTTTATAATAAAATCCTCAGATTTGAATATTTTAAAAATTCTATTTTTATAGAATTTTAGCAGTTATCTATATCAGAAAAATAAGAATAATTTGAAAATTGGTTAAAAATATAAAATTTAATAAAGAAAAAATATTTTAAATTATTTTTTTTTTATTCTGCATATTAAAACTTTTTACAATTTTAGCTTTTTGTTTAGGTGATATTATAGTATGGATGATTGAAATATTTTTATATTTAAAATAGAAAATTATCTTGTTTTCTTATATTATTAATTTTTAATATAGAGTGCATGTTCTAATTTGCATTGCAGTAGCTATTATAAATGAACTATTCCTGTTACAAATTATAGCTAAAACTTTGTTAAATTAAATTTTTTACAGTATGATAATTTTGTAAAAATGTGCACTTAACAAAATTGGCAATAATTAACAAATTTACTTTGCTTTACCATAGAAAATGATAACTTTTAAACTGAGGTTGAAACTTTTTAGTTTGACACCTTTGAGATTTCACAAGGGACTAATTTCATAATAGATTTCTATATTTCAAATGGATGGTTGTAATTCATTCTGGAATCTCTATAAAATCAGATCAAAACACTGGCAAGAGAAGCAGGATTTATAAAAAAATAAAAAACAGATAAATTTAAAGAAAATAAATTCAAACCATGTTAATATATGAACTAAAAAATATATTTAACTGTGATGACTCAGGTTTAGATTTTAAAAATTTACAAATATTTTTTATGTATATCATAAAGAAGACATCAACAGCTTTAAAATCTTAGAAGAAATAATGATTTATTAAAATTATAACCAAAATGCTTTACTACAGATATAAAAGTAAACCTGATGCCTCCACAATGCTGATAACTATGCCTCTCTGATGGCTGTTGTGCAGACTATTGACAGCAGGCATAAAACATGCCTCACATAGAAATCATCAAACCTTACAATACTAGACTAAAGACTTTTAACTGTATTTGTTTGATGTATGTATGTGTATATATAGGAGCTGATCAGTGTGTAATAGTTCTGAATGAAACATGAAGATACAAAACTATTGCAGTGAAATACTTGCATAAATATTTGAAAATGTATTGAACTAACTTGCATTATGACATGTTTTAAATATATATAAATTTAAACACACTTTAAGTATAAAATATTTTATTGTCACTTTCATAAATGTATCAATTTAATTTATATTTTAGTATTTCTCATTAAACTCATATTGCTGTTATCAAACATGATAGCTATGATATTCTACACATTTTAAATATAAAAGCATATGAAAATATCAAAGGTAAAAAATGAGCAGTTAGATGTTTGAATGAAGAAAGTAACCAGGATTATTCTCAAAATTTTGATAGCAGCTATGAAAATAAGTTATAACCATTGCAGTGTATTGGAGAAGCAGAATAACAATTTATTCTGCTATCCTTATTTGCATTTGAGATAAGGTAAAAACTATCATTTGATGATTATTTTATATTTAGAATGAATTTCATTCTAAATAGCCTCTTTATAATTCTAAATTACCATATTTACTCACATATAAGATGAAGTTTTATTCATTTATCATTTCTTCAAAAACCTGGGTTGCCCTATACACGCGAGTGAAGGATTGCTTGCGTTTTTGCAAATCATTTTTGTGAATCATGTATTTGCACTTTTAACTGGATGCATTTTTACCATATTTTATCTAGGTTGTTTGAATTGTTCTTGTATATTGTTGGGAGTAAAGATGAATAGCAATAGGAAAAGCAAAGCTTTTGAATTGAATTCCAGATTGAAATTCCAAATCACACAGGAGCACAATATAAGTTTTAATCCATTCCCATGTGAAAACTGATGATTATTTGGAAATCAGAATCCAGAGAAACTCAAGTGTAATCGACAGAGAGTTGATTCGACTATTAAGAATTGGCAAAAAAGGGTTTCCGATCGTCTGGCTCTACATGAACAAATTATGCTGATGATTTTACATGATTTTTCCTTAAAGTTTAAACTGCCAGTAATTTTTGCAGGACAATGTGTGCATTTATGTTCATTTGATATTTTACTTGTGATTAAATGAAATAAAATTACAATTGTATTAATAAATCTAATTTTTTTTATTTTGATCTTTAAAGTCACACTTCATCCTTATGGAAGGTCGTCTTATATGTGAGTAAATATGGTATTATCTAAATGTCTTCAATAATATATCCCTATTAAAAATAGATATCATTAAACATCCATGTATGAAGTGGATTCAAATCCACATTCTAACAAATAGGGGATAATATTTTAATAAATCATTTTGCTGGATCAGTTAATTATAGTGTTTATTCAATTACTAATGATTCTTTAATCAATATTATCAGAGATGTAAATTGTAAATGGATGTTTTATTTATATATGTATTTTCCTCCAGGACCATCAATTAAAAGACGTGTTATAGGTAATGGTAGTACAAATACTTCTCCAGATATCTATAATATGGGAGCATTACCAAGGACAACTATATTGACACCTGTGAACGGTCGAGCTAAAGTAGCAACAATAACTCGTGTTGGTGGCCGAAAACAGATGATTAGTTGGGTAGATGCTCCTGATGATGTATATTTTGTAGCAGTAGAACCAACAAGGTAATTTAATATTTTATTTTTCTTATAAATATTTATTGTAGATTTTTGGAAAATACAATCAAAATTGGTCAAATAATCAGAGTGAAAAAGTAAATGTTTTCATTTGAAATTTCAAGAATATGCTACCATACATATCTGAACATCCAGTAACAAATTTAATCATCATTTAATTTGTTAAATATTTGTTGGGGTTTAAATTATATTTTAAAGCTTATTTCCATATATTTTTCTTCTTATTTTGAGTATTTTTTTCATGAGAATCTATATAAATTATTGCCGAGAGTTTAAGTATAGCTAAAATGAATTATTATACTGTTCAGAAAGAGCTTATTTCCTAATCACAAGTTAATTCTGAGATCAGCCAAATATCAAAAAGTTTTGCAGGGATATTCTTCATATATTTATTTGATGTTAATTATGTAAAGTCTTACTGTAGAAAATTTTTTATTATTATATTTGCAAGTATTGAAAATTATTACCTTTACAGTAATTATTACTATTTTTATCATCATCATTTTGATAGTTTGGATGAATTTCTATATTAATATTGCCTAAATTTTTTCACATTAGGTTGTAATTATGAAAATAATATATATATATATACTCCAAGATGATAATATTTTTTATTATACCAGTTTAATTAAATTGATATGTGGTCCAAATGTATATTACTTAGTTTTCAAGTACTCAAAAAAAGGTGAGATAAGTTAAAGAAAGCATATATAACTATATAAAATTACTTATTATCCAAATTTTTGATAATTTTCTCTCTTGTATCATTTGACATATTAAATGAATTGATATATAACATTCATTAGAAATAATGTTAAGAAAATATTGAGAAAATGAGTAGAATTAGGAGAGTGCTGTTTCATTAAGTAGAACAATAATTCCAAACATTTTTTTTTTCTTTTCAACATGTTAATGCTCTTAAACTTGCCCTTCAGTTTTTTCAATGTTAATTTGTATCATATAATTATGATTCAAGTTAAAATTGAGTTAAATTCTTGAAAACACTTGAATTTGGTGATATTAAAAATCATTCTATGATTGGATTCTTGAAATGCTTGAAGAAAGAATTTCAACATATATCAGGGTTACAAAATATCAACAATACAGTCATTATATTTAATAAAGATATGACCTATTAGTGGAATACTTTAAATTAAATAATTATCTTAAATAATCAATTGGTAGAGATATATGAGGCTTATCAAACTTGTAATAGAGCCAAGTAATTGAGATCACATCTGGAAAATGTGATCTCGATTACTTTGCTCCATTACAAGTTTGATAAGCCTTGTATATCTCTACCAATTGGTTATTTGAGATAATTATTTAATTTAATTTATTAGAGGCAAAAAGCTTACAACTATAGTATACTTTGTTCTTTATACAGGGTGTGCCACAAATAACTGTCCATAGGAGAGCAAAGCTGGGAAGTTTGTGCAAGGGATGATTTTTGTTGTGTGAACAGAGGACACATTTCCTCTTTATGAACAAAGTCTAACCCCTGCTCATATACAGCATGAACTTTCCAGCATTGCTCTCCTGTGGACAGTTATTTGTGGTACACCCTATATAACTGTAAAGAAAGAAATATCTCTTGGCATCAAGTTTTGGGATTAGGGAACTACATAAACCAGCCTGTTATGATTCATTATACAAAGAAAATACATCTTGACATGAATAAAGGAGTAAATTTCAATGCAGCAATAGTTTGTCTTGTGAAAAATAGCTTCTGGATTTATTTCCTGAATTTGTAATATAGTTCACAATTTCTTCATGTTGATAGATGTATTAGATGAAGAAAAAAGGATCTGGGACTTTTTTGTTCAAAACTATTCTGTCTTAGTTCTGTTCTTTTTTAGTAAAACTTTGAACTGTTCATTTTTTTCCCCTGATACTTTGTTTTGTATTTCTATGTCATAAATGTCCAAATATAATAATACTTTCCCATGCATGCTATGTATGTGAATTAGTGAACAAGTGTTTTGATTTTAAATGTAAATGTAGTTGAAAATTAAAAAAAAAAATTTTTTTTATTGATTGAATTATCAATATTACTATTCAAATAAGGTAGTATTTTACAAAATAAACATTTTCCTATAAAGATGAAGTAAAATATTGTTATTTTGATAAAATAATTTATTTTTTTGCTGACGTTTATCCATATTAATAAAATTTACTGAAATTTCATATGTGGATTTGATTAGTTCATTCAGTAGTTGCTTTGATTTGAAACTTACAAATATAAAAAAATCTAAATTTAAAGTTCTATATTTTTTAAAAATAAATGTTGATGTTAAAAAGAAAATAGTTACATAAAAAATTAATAATAAAACTTTTTGAAAATTCTTCTATATTAAAATTTTACATTAATATTAATCATTAGAACTGTTTTCATTCAAATACATATTTATACTTGGTTGGAAGATCTGTTATATTTATTAGTTGTACAGTATTTATAATATATACAGGAACTCCCAGAGGGGGCAAAAGGAGCAAATTGCCCTGGGTCTCTGAGGAATTAGGGGCTCTTATGCAATGGTTTTTTGTTTAATTTACTGTAATATGTATTTTGTCCCAGATCCTCATTATATGTTAGAAAGCCCTGAATGTATAATGTTTGTGTACAGTATGTAAATCTGTATATCTCCAATGTATTACTTAATAAAATACTTAATATCCAGCTGATATTAGATATAATTGATTTAATCATTTCAGTAAAATTATAATTTAATCACAGATCAGATGATATTAATTTATTATCATCTGAACTGTGATTAAATTATAATTTTTTATAAGATAAAACCTATGCCATTCACATATTAATTTATTATGTGAATGGCATAGGTTTTATCTTATAAAAAATTAGATGAAACAAATGATTTTACATTAAATCGTATACTTCAAGAAAATTTCTGTGATTTGTTTAAGAAGTTTTCAAACTTTTAATTTTGAGTTTATTTTTACATGAATGTTTAATTAATATTATAATTGTATTGTCTCAGTTTAATATTGATTGTTTATTGATTTAAATTAAATTATATTGCTTCTAATTCTTATAATTCTCATGACTTTATCTTTAAAACTAAAGCAGAATTATATTTCAATGTAGCAAAATGTATTATAAAACATTTTAAAGAATTTTAGATGAAGATTTTTCATGTTTGTTTCCTATTATCTTAGACAGCCAATTTCATAACATCTTGATTATCTGAATATGTAAATAAAATTAAGCTTTTAATACAATCTTACCATCTTTAGCCTTTTTACATTTAATGTTGATTAAATTAAATGTTTTTAGTCTTAAATTTTATAATTTAAACATATACAATGAATTTGTTTATTGTAATTATTTGAGATTTGCCTATACTAATGATGATAGCTAATTGATAACAATAAGCAGGGTAGATAAATGAGACTACTAAGGATGGACCAAATTGGTGTGTTTGGTGAAATACCAAATATTCTTGCCTTTTTGATTACCAAATACCAAATATTTGGCCAAATATCAACTGATTTAATTGGAACTGCCTGAAACAGAAGGCTGGACTATAAACCTTAGAATAAGATGGAGGGCAACATCATCTGTTCACCAAGTAGTAGTATATTTAATGATTGTACAATATATTTGGCAAAGCTGGAGGTATTTATGATGAGACCAACAAAATCACTTATTTTCCATAAATGCAGAAGCATTAATGTTTTTTCATTACAATTTATCAGTCTTGAACTATGATTTTAATAAATAATAATTGCTCAAGAACATTTATTAAAATTATATTTCTTTCAGAGAGAGAAATGCCAATATTTTTAAATATCTGAGATTTTAAATGTTGTTTTCATTCTATTTTGTATCTTGTGTTGTATCTTTTTCTTTCTTCCTTCTCTCTTTCTCCCCCAAACTAAAATGAGATTGTTCAGCCAAATACTAAATATACAGTCCAACGCTAGAAACTACAGTTAGAAAATCTGACATTAAAAAAGACATGTTAAAATAATTTTAAAAAATGTAACTTAAAGATTTATTATTATTATTATTATTAAATAGTAATTCATTCAGTATTGTTTGCAATACTGTCCTTAACAGTAGCTCTCACATAAACTTCAGGAAGAACTTTTACCAGTTTAAAGGACTGTACTTCCAGTAAATGACATTCACTGTTTAAATAAAGTCTTGGTTAAGACTGATCAATTGTGTGTTTTCAGCAACATGTTGAGACTGATAGCTTGAGAAAACAGTTTTAAAATGTCTGTTTACTTGAAGGTAATGCTACCTATCACTGAAACAAATTACAATAAGCAACATTATATATTTTATCTATCAATGTTTTGGGACATTCTAATTTTGACAATATTAAAAGTCATTACATGGCTGTAATAATGTCAGTGGTTACATTAAGTGGATTCTGCTGCAAAGGAAAGCATTTGCAAACTAAAATTTCATTATTGAATTATTTTTTAAAGTGATAAAAATTTGTTAAAATAAATAAATGAAAGTAATTACTCTACTTTTTTCAAGATATGAAGTAATTAAACATAAATAAAACATAACTTGCCCAGGAAGTAAGGCATCTGTGGAGGATGGATAGTGTGCTTATTGTACCTGTTGTCCTCTCCTCTACAGGTGTCATACCACACACACTACACAAAAGTCTGGGAACATTACAATTGAATAGAAATACATACATCACACTACAGAAGGCCACAATATTGAATACATGCCATATTGTTAGGAAATTCCTGAATACAGACACTGACACACTTAATTTTTGTTTTGTTCTAGTTGCTATGCCTTGACTCTGGTCCAGCATAGTACACAGTCACCAGTGTCAACCACTAAACCCAACATAATAATAATAATAATGCTGTAGGAAATTTTCAGCATGTGTTGTGTATTTACAATAATAGTTATTTTATAAAATATAATCCCAATAAATTTATTATATAACTATATAAAATTGCAGAATGTGTTTATTATTAGAGGAATAAAAAGTAATGATTGGCATTTTATCATTGGTGCAAATTCTATTTGATTTGGTAGAAAAATTGGAAACAAACCTTTTGCAATTGCATTACTTCAGTTTTTCTACTAATCCAAAAAGAATTTACATCAATGATAAGATATCAAACATTACTTTTTGAATTGAAGCAGAAAATGGAAAGTGCAAATTTCAGTTTAAAAAATCTTGAAATATGCTAGTGTGTGGATATAAAAAGGATTTAGTTTTTTTAAATAAATGTAGTATTTTACTGATAACAACTTATCAGTTATGACATTCCGTGGAATTGTCTTCTTAAATTATTGATGGGTACAGAGAATACTAAGATAATATTACTAAGATGCTGGAATGTTGTGTAAATATACATTTTCTACGACAGTGTTGATTATTTTACATATGGGAAAAATACGGGTGTCATTTAAAATTTGATTCCATCATCTACATAAAAAAGATTTGAAAGAACAAATATGTTAAAATTATAGCTTGTTAAAAAACTTTTTGATACTGCTGTTCTGAATTAAGGTGTTATTGGCTTGTTAAAAGACATCTTAAATTCAGAATTTTATTACAAGTGTAAATATATTTAATATAATAACTTACATAAAAATAAAATAAGAATCAAACATTACGTTTTATTAAACAAATACAAAAAAAAGAAAAATTGACTATTTATATGAATTTATTTTTGTAAAAAAGCAAAATAATAATAATGTAGAAAGAATATATATAAATTTAAAGTTAATAGTAAAAAATTTTTTTAAATTTCAAATTTAATAATTGTTACTCTTGACAGTTTTCCATGGATGGCAAACCTTTTTGTGTCCGCGTGCCATATAGTGAGCGTAATTGTCTTTAAAAATATTTGTGTGCCAAAATTTTAGACTTCGAATAACGATATTTAAGAAATGGAGTGAAAATGCTTTTATTAGAATAAATGTAAAGAAGATTGAAAAAGGATGACTAGATGATAAACTGAAAGGATATTTGAAAACTTTTAATGATAAACCGAAATCGTATGAAATGTTACGTGCCAGATGATTTCTGCCGACTTGCCAAAGGTTCGCCACCCCTGGTATATAATTTTAATTATCTGATTGAGATATTTTTGTATTTTGTTATAGCACAGGAATCTCAAACATATTTGAGTTTTTCAAAAACGTTTCATAAAGAATGATATAAACACATAATATAGCTTTAAAAAGTGGAAAATATATTCGGTAGTATGTTTTAAGTTTGTGCTTAATTCTATTTTTAGTCAATGTGTATGCTATGCTATGGATACAAATGACAATAACATCAGCACGGAATTTATTTTTAAAACAACACGTAATTTTTGTTTTTCTACTTTTAATTTTAAGCAAAAATGCTTAAAATTAAAAGTAGAATTACTATTACAAGACATAATTAAAATTATTGATTATTTTAAGACATCAATTTTTCTTTTTACTATTTTAGTATATTTAATTGGAGAAAATGAAATAAAAATTAATTTATCCATTTATATTCTCGATTTTTTGTCTTGATTATTATTAAATGTGATTCTAAAATTTAATATTTGGCATTTTGCACGTTTTCAGGAAAATGAGAAGACAACTGACAACAGCGGAGCTTCGTCGAGCAGCTCGTCGCCCGTGTAAAAAATTGAATCTAAAAATTCCTCACGACCAGATGGCCGTTAGTGGAGATTGTATCGTGAATCCGCCAAATGCTGGTCATCAAGATACCATCGTTATCATGGATTGAAATTGATGCAAACACTGCTGTGTCTGCTTGTGTCCCACTTTACAACATGCTCAATTGGGCCATCAGTGGTTATATAAAATTGCAAGATGTATTTACTTGCACACCACTTCACGGTTATTGAAAATAATACACGGTTTGGGATATGCGACATCTTGATAGTATTAAAATATCACGGGGATAACAGGGTATCCCAAATGACTGTAGGATGGAACACGGCAGCCATGCAAGCTGTAAACTGACCAAAGAAAGCTACGGTCGGTTCGTATGGTACTGGGCAATCTAATCCATGTCTGTTTGTGAAGTGTGTTTTCATTCTTAGTCAACTGTTTTGGCACTACCAACAGCACATTAATTAAACGGCAATAACGTTGCTGTGAATTTAAAAAAATCCAGAGAAAAAAAAAACAGAAGAAAAGATTGCAACTAAAACAGTGGTGCCTGATTGTTAACATTCAAAGTTTGTTGGTGTTGCCAAGAACAAAGCAAAGTCATTGTGATCTGCAACCACACTTGTTTTCTCTGATCCTTCCTGTTTGAATTTATCAAATAAGTCTCGCTTACAATCCAAACTTAATTATGAAAAAAATTCTGTAAATAACAATTTCAATAATGTTGCAATAGAAAGAAAAATATTATGTATAATTTTAAAGTGCGCAAATCATTTCATCAACTAGTGCACTTAGAAATTTAATTTTGTCATTATTTTATCTAATTGACAATTCAACAGGAATAGAAGATGAAACAAGTGAAGACGTGACCATCAGTTAAATCATATACTGTAATCTTTCATTCCTTGAAAATGAAGAAACCTGCATAATGACCAGTCCTGTTCCTCATGTGATTTTTAGCTGTCTTCGTGTTTACTATTGCCAGTGACGTCTCCTAGTTATTTATAACATTTTATACAAACCATGTATGTTCTGGTGTGCCAGAAACTCAGGATAATTCACTCTTTAGTTCATGAATGTTTGATTTTGTTTCTTTAAACCCCTCCCATTTTTGCACATGCACATCGCAGCTTCGAAGATCTTAGGTATAAGGGAACACGAAAAAAATTGATCTACGATGATATATTCTACCTTTGTCGAAATTTTCACAATTTTCGTGAGAATCAGCAACATTTCGAACAGATCCTTAATCAAGATTCACATAAAAAAATTATAATTACAGAAAAAAACGAGCTTTCTTATTTCTCAAAATTTTACATGTATCCCTTTAGTTTCTGTGTATAGTTTTATGATGTAACATTACTATTATTAATCAAATTAGCCAACAGCTGCTTTCATTACATATTTATTTTGTCACTTGAAATTTTTTCCCTTTCAGGATGCCTTAATAAAAATCCGTTTATGATTCTCCTTAGCTCATTTGTTGACCCTACACACCGTTAATCAAATAATTCACTTTTGTTTTCAAAAATTCGTGGATTCTGTAGAAGTGATAAAAATGTGTTTGCACGTGTTCAAATATAATTCCCTCCGGGAGTATATTATTTGAATCTCGAATATATCAGATCCACAATTTGACATGAATTGTTTCGAGTGTTGATTATTTCAAATATATTTTTAACTACTCAGATTACTATTTTCTTAACTACATTAATGTACCATATATGCAAAGATCATCAATAAAGATATTAGTAATCTGCAATATAATAATAAACAAATTATATATGATATATATATGTATGGAAAAGTTTAAATATAATATATATATGTATATCATATTTAAACTTTTCCGTATCAACATCTTATATCAAAAGTGTGATGTATTATATAATAAACAGTTAAATAATACAAATGGGATTACCGGATGAAAGTAAGTAGTGATTCGCTTAGTTATTAATGAAAATGAATTGAAATTCTATCTCAAAACGCTTAGATTCTATTAACGAATTAAATTAATTCGAAAACAAGTTGCGAGCAGCTCGATGTATGTAAATAGCAGCTAAGAATTTTGATTCGTATTCTATGATCCAAATATTTGATATTTGAATATTTGTTTGTTCGTAACTTACGTCTGTTTATGGTATCGTGCTTATGACTCAATACAAAGAGTTGTGACAAATCAAATCGAATAAGATTCATGAATTGTGAAAGATATAGGTTGTGTCTAGTTGGCAAGCGGTTAAGTAAGCAGGCCAGTGACATTGTTTTATACGAAATTGGACTGTTATAGGGTTGCTTGTAACCTAGACACCCAAACGCAGTGACGAATTCAAGTTGTGGGAGAGATCTCCAATAGTAATACTTTTGTGAAAAGACAATAGACAACCTGGAATCGTAATTTCCTTTCTAAAAATAATTTTTGCTAATCAAAACAACTTAGAACCGTAATAAACTTTAATCAAATTAAAACAAAATTGATTTTTTCACTGAAACCAGCTTCTTACTCCTTTCATTTCTTAGTATAAAATAAATAAATAAGTCTTATTTTAACACTCTCTCAAAATATTTTTATGATTTGACAAAGTTATAAGAAAGAGTTTTTTGAGAGTTTTCACTTAACCAAGTGCGCGAATCGATAAATCCGCCTCTGAGTAAATTACATCCCGTTAATCGAATGAAAAATGAATTTTTAGACCATCGTTTGTGTGTACTTAAATTGTTCCAGTTCAGATGTAATTTTTTAAAATGATTTTCTCAATTTCGGTTGCGGTTATATTTATAATTTACGAAATGATAAATTTTATTGTCACCATACGTACTAATCGAGAATATGTAAAAAATCGTCTATATTCCAGTAATGGAATTACAATACGATTCTAGTGGTTGCAAAGAAGTGAGGTTAAATAGAAATCAAGAAATATATCAATATAAATAATGATGTTCTGTGAGGTAGTGGCAATATTTTTACATTGGTTGCTAGAAGCCCAGGGAATTCAAAAATGTTTTGTAAACAGCCAGCACTTCAAGTGCATTGTTTCGGCGCTAGAAGCAGTTCAGGAGAGTGCAAATTTTGCCTCTCTCGATACCATAAGATACTCTCTTCAACCATCTTTACTATTTAATTGACCGTAATGTTTGGATGGAAAGGGCTTAATGGATAAAATTGATATTGGTGAAAAATATTCAATCCTAAATTGCTGAAATGTAACAATCTAAGAACGAGGTGATGCTGTAATTGTACCAAACTTTTGATATGCTCAAACTTTCGGGGGCACAATGCCATAAAGAGTTTAGTGATGATTATCAAGTCTTCCATTTTTATTTTGTGTGTTTAAATAATTACATTTAAAACAAATTTTAATTTTTAAAGCCATGTGTCACAAAGCATTCTTACTGTTAGACTACTATAGTCCGTGCAGCGAAAGAGTAGACACGAATCAGCTCGAACAGGAAGATGGAAGGAGACATGCGAATTCTAGCGAAAGAGAAGACACGAATCAGCTCGAACAGGAAGATGGAAGGAGACATGCGAATTCTCTTTCATACAACATAGACCTTCCAGCTCAAGCTGACTCGTGTCTACTTTTTCGCTGTGCGGACTAGTTTTAACAAGTAAAACGGCAAAACCGTATTTGGGACAAGACTATGTCTGGGAGAGACTACTAAGCGGAATCACTTTGACGCTCAAGGCGGGTCTCGTTCTCATTCTCCAATCTTCTTTGGTATCGTTGCTTTTGGACGGGATCGTTCAAACTTCGCCGTCCACGATGCATTTTTGATGAAATTAACCTATCCAATTTCGAAATTTCTCTTCGTTGCGTGTCTGGCTCAATTCTAGGGCAGAATGACGCGATTGGGACTTTGACAAAGCTGTAGAGCATATCGATAGGAACAAAAAAGTCAAAGGAACCATGCCCGTACGAGCGACCCTTCGCGAGATATAGGCTCCCCAAAAAATGACTATGTGGAAAATTTGAGACCCTCAAAAATGGGGTAAAATTCAAAAGTGAAAATTTTCGGAACTAAATCTCGAAACTATGGCATTTTTTGCCGTTTTTTAGACCCTACTAGACACTCCCAAAACCTCCCTGAACACGAGGATCGGCACCTTTCGACTGCCACTTCCGGGGAGCGCCATTGGGAGTCGCGCCTCGCTCTCTCTCTCTCTGCTAAGCCTATCGCGTGTCTAACAGGCAGCAAGCCGTATTCTAACGTCACTTCCATCGACAAAGACCAAAGAAAAGCCCGATTATTAGCGCTAATTCGGCTACGCTTTCTCCGCCGCTCTATACCGAGCGCGCTTCTATTTCGCTATCTCTATCACATTCCAACTGACGACGGAAAAGGCCAACAAAACAGATTCTACATTCACCTTCGGCAGAGTTTCCTCCTATCGCTACCCGACGACTCCTAGCCCGTTTCCGATCTCCTTTAGGTGAGGACGGGGTAAGGCTGCCGGTCACCGCCGCCACTTCCTCCTCCTCGGCTATGTCCAGGAGGTTGACGACGACGAAGATGGGATCGCCGGATGTTGTTCGAACAATCGCATATAATCCACGGTTCGCGTACAAGTATCCTTCGGTAACGCGCACCATATATATGTACACACACACAAGCTTCGCTGGGCGTTCGTCTTTCCCCTGTCGTTTCTCTTCGCCCTCGTGCACGGATATATCACCAAAACATACGTATATAGATGATCTAGACATGGCGAAGACAGAAACGTCGGTCGATCGCCACATATAAACCTTCGCCGCCAAACATTCTGTTGCCATTAATAACAGAAGTTCGCGTGAAAAATCACAATTGGATTTTTCACGACCCTTTCCAAATGCTGCAAGCATTCGATTCGAAGGCCGACTTCAACTTATGTTTTGTGGAAGCATCAGCAAGTGCTCCGAATCCGCATTCGTCGAGGTTAGGCATCCATTCCAACAAACCGCATCGTTCGGTGATTTCTTTCCTTTCTAAGAAAAGATTGTCTACTTCGCTCATTTTCGACCTTATATTTTCTAAACCATCAGTTAAACTTCAACTTCCGGGTCAACAACAGTCGAAATCCGGAAATCTTGACGCACAGGAAAGCTATAATCGAAGTACGAATGCAAAGGCAATCTCTACATAAAAACTTCTCCTCGCGTTAACACTCAAAGCTGCAAACAGCAATGCTTTTCAAAGATCGGACGAAGACAGAACGTGTCACCAAACTAAAAGCAGTTTTAAATGTTCTGGATATTCTTTAAAACAATGCAATACTTGAAAGTAACTATATTCCGACTTCATTAATTGTGATAATGGAGACGACGACAGCGAATTCGACATTACATTGCAATGTGATTACAAATGGACAATTTAAAAATTCCGAAACAATATCATTTTACTTCTTCGAAGAAGTAACTAAGTCTTTTGATAACATACAAAGTAGTGTGGAGAAAGTAAACGAATTGGACAATTGTCACGAACCAATACCGAATCAAATCGAAATAACCTGCAACAAGCGTTGTCATCTCATTCTTGAATTTTAACATCTGCATTTCATTTTTGAAAACCATTGCTCTTTGCAATCTTAATGCAAGGAAAGGTTTTAATGTAGAAATTGCCTTTTCCTTCGTACTTCGATTACAGCTTTCCTGCCTCATACTCACCACAAGTGTGTAATAAGCAATCGTTTTGTTCGTTACGTACAGTACACAGATAGGTTTGGTTTTCCTGAGATATGTAATCTCGGCCAAAGCACAAACTCATTCCTTAATACCATAACATCCAACTGGAATATTCTGAATCGCTTTCCAGTGAACTGAAAACTGTGGCTGAGAAATGCCGATGCTGAAATTTCCGAATCAGATAATACACAACTTACGAGCTCCCTCCTCTTAATCTCTTCATTCGGCATTGTTTCGTGACAATTGTCCAATTTGTTTACTTTCTCCACACTACCTTGTACGTTATGGAAACACTTTACTATTGGGAAGAAGTAAATGAAGTCGTTTCGGATTTCGAAAATTGTCAATAACGACCATTACCTGTTGCGTTCGGTTCCGTCGCCTCGAATATCGCAAATATTGAATATTTACTGACTTGTACTCCTAACTAATGCGGTAACAAACACCGGCCGAAAATGCCCGAAGGCGGCCTGAAGGCTTATGAAACATCGGAGGGGCAGGGGATCGGTCACGTGACCCGCGGCCGGCCGCGCGACGGGCCCGCTGCACCTTCACGGCTGAGGGGTGGTCGCGTGGCGCAACGCACTGAATCTGTGCGGGCGAGGGAGAACCGCCTGTAGGGCCTGTCATGCGCAGTGAGTTCCTCGGCCTAGCATGGCTCAAGTATGAGTTCCAAAGTGTTTCTGGCAGAGCGACCTGGCGGGCCGGTGAGGAGAGAAGTGGATTGGCGCCGGCCGAGACCGGGGTTCGATCTCCGGCTTAGGTGAGAAGTGTAATAAATAATAGATATTTGTATTTACAGGCA